CCCAAGTGGCAGTTGGAACAGAGTTTCTTTCAGGTGGGGAGGGGGAGTAGAATGTCTAACTCCTTAGCATCAGAGCGTTTTAATAATAATATAAGAAATACTAATGATCTGATGGTCATTTCGAAAAATCCTTTCTTAGCGAGCACCTAGAAGCCAAGAGGAACATACATGTCAAATTTCAAGTTTGTAGGCTTTACAGTTCTGGAGATTTTGTGATGCTGCATGAGTGGTATTTCGCTTTTATATCTATATAGATCCTTTTCTTTAGCAACTTCACTTTTTTCAGCTGTATCTCATACAAAAGGACGCAAACATTGCAAGCTAGGATCTCACTAGTGTTGGTAATAATTGGTATAGTTTGTTTTATTAGGATGAGTACTTAACAGTAAATGACATTTGCAATCGCAGTGGAAATGCTGCCATCCTAGAGTTAAGCAGGTCCATTTATTCTCAGTTATTTTTGGTGCGATTTATCGAACCAAAAATGTCTGAACCAAGGGGGGGTTGGAGTTAAAGCATAGGGAGGAACTATTCTCTTCACAGTATCCTTTCACTTCAATATCTGATACCCTGGACCAAGTGAGATGTAGAAAGAAAAAAGAGAGAGAGAGACTTTAACAAGTGCGAGAAATAATTGTGCATCCTGCATTTCTTTCCTACCAGAATTTGCTCTGAAATATCTTTTGATGGAGTAAAACAGCGTAGGGAACCTGCTTTGAGTGCAGCGTGGTGTTATGATTGATGGGATTAATTGATTGATTGATTGATTGATTGAGCCACTTCTTCATCTTCAAGAGCAGCCCCATGTGGAACACATTGCAGTAATCCAAATGGGAGGTAAACAAAACCATGAACAAGGTCTATGTTTAAGGAGATTCTCAGTCATCCAGGTCATGGTTATCCTAAAGGTGCTTTTTCAATAGGCAACTGGACTTCCTTTGCTTTTCCTTGAGCCAAGAAGCTTCTCCATGTTGTGCCCCCTCCCCCCCCCCCCGGCAGCAGCCAGCAGAGCTGGCAGCAGATTCAGAGAGTGAGGAGAGTTGGGGAGGAACCTGGGCCAGTCCTGGAGTCTGGGGAAGGCTCTGATGAAGGCTCTGTGTCGGAGGCAGAGAGGGGGCCAGGGCCCTTTGACAGTTATCAGCTGCCTTCGGAGTCAGACATCAGTGAGGCAGAAGAACAGCTGGAGCCTGTTCCCAGTGTGCGCATGCACAGACCTGCCAGATGAAGGGAACAGCTAAAGAACAGGGGTCGACTTGGGAGGAAGGCCACAGGTGGAGGATGAAGGGCCCCTCCCAGAGGAAATAAAAGAGGAGCGAAAGGGGAGTGGAGTTTGCAGGAGACCATGAGTTCGCTTAGTGACTCTCCGAGACTCCTTGCCAAGTTTTGCAGATATCGGCCTGGCAGCTCTCCAAGCCAGATAAGGTCTGTGACTGTAAAGAAGTACTGAAGAATTGAAGAAGATTCTTGGCTGAGAAGCCAGACATCTTCAAGCAAAAACAAAGAAAATCCTTTTGAAAAAGCCCCTTTGGGACATGGCAAAGTTCTCTACGTGTGATGGGAGAGGGGCAAGAAGCAGATGTCTCCTTCCAAACTTCGCAATCCTCTTTCCAAACCACAAGGCTACCCGTACTCCCAATCAATCCCAATTTTTCAGGAGAGAATTCCATCAAGGGGGCCTTACTCAGACTGAGTCGAGGGGGCTGCAAAACTATTGCTGCTGAATGATGGAAGGGATGCCATCAAAAACAAAAACAAAACCAGCAGCATCTTCTGCTCTCTCCAAGGAGCAGAGTGAGAAGAAGGGAGAAGTTTGAGAGATGTTCTCCACCATCCTGAGAATAAAATAGACAAGCAGAAGCCTCTTACTGCAGGAGAAGGAAACTTCTGAAAAGGGGTAAACAAAAAAAAAAAGGTTTTTAGCAGAGTATTTATTGGAGCTGACGTCTTGCATGGAGCTGTTGAAGGACATCTGGAATTAGCTGAAGCCCTTCTGAGCCCACAGGCTGCACAGCCCCATCCTTGGCATCTCACTAGCTAGATTCAGCATGACAAGTTGAAGCTAGGCCTTGACAGCTGAGAACTTGACATTTCCCCCCCGAAGAAGTCAGAGACAGGTGAAGAGTAAAACAGGAGTCTCTCGCTAACTTCCTGTTTGCAGTCCTCTCTGTCTCTTCCATCGCCTTCTTCAGATGAAGGAGATTTGAGGTCAATTTCCTTCAAGAGAGAGTTCCGCTTTCCTTTTCTTTTTTTTACCCCCGCATTTTATTTATGTAACATTCAATTTTCATCAAAGAGAGTGTGGTCTGGATATTGTTGTTAGTTGCAAAGTGGTGTCCAACCCATCAGAACCCCATGGACAACGTTCCTCCAGGCCTTCCTGTCCTCTACCATCCTCTGGAGTCCATTCAAGCTCACGCTGACTGCTTCAGTGACTCTGTCCATCCACCTCCTTTTCTGCCGTCCCCTTCTTCTTCTTTTGCCCTCCATCGTTCCCAGCTTTAGGCTCTTCTCCAGGGAGTCCTTCCTTCTCATCAGGTAGCCAAAGCCTTTGAGTTTCCTCTTCAGGATCCGGCCTTCTAAAGAGCAGCTAGGGTTGATCTCCTCTAGGACTGACCGGTTGGATGGCCTTGCAGTCCAAGGGACTCAATGCAGGAGTCTTCTCCAGCACCAGAGTTCAAAGGCCTCCATTCTTTGGCGCTCAGCCTTCCTTATGGTTCAACCTTCACAGCCATCCATTGCAACTGGGAAAACCAGAGCCTTGACTAGACGCACTTTTATTGGCAGGGTGATGTCTCTGCTTTTTAGGATGCTGTCTAGATTTGCTATCGCTTTCCTTCTCAAGAGCAAGGGTTTTTAAATTTCTTGGTTGCAGTCCCCATCTGCGGTGATCTTGGAGCCCGGGAAAATAAAATCTTGTCACTACCTCCATTTCTTCCCCATCTATTTGCCAGGAATTGAGAGTGTTGGATGGGTATAATTATGTTTAAATAGTCATATTACACATCTTTGTTGTGATATTCATCACCATCATATTAATAATATAATAACATAATAGTATAATAACATTGGTACTTATCATCATCTTCTTTAGCAACTCTGCTTTACCATTTCTTCTTTTTATATCTCCTCCTTTCTAACTTCTGTTTCTGTTATCTAGCCATTGATAGAATATGGCCCATATCAAAAAAAATATTCGTTTTCTTCTTTGTCCTTAATAGTAAGCATTAATCTGTCCATGTCTGCAGATTCTAATATTTTCTTAATTACATTCCCCTCAGACGGAATGTCATCATTTTCCCACTGTTGCATAAATACAATTCTCCTTGCAGTTAGTACATGCAAAATCAAGTATGTAGTCTTTTTTATCATATTTTCTACCAGAAAGATATGATAAAGAGAGTTCCACTTTTCAATGCTCTCAATCCTCTACAGGGTTTTTACAGTAGTACCAACATAGTTTAGCTCTGCTTCTCGAAGAGCCAGCGCTGTCCGAAGACGTCTCCGTGGTCATGTGGCTGGCATGACTAAACACCAACAAGTGCACAAAATGCTGTTCCCTTCCCACAAAAGATGGTTTCTATTTTTGTACTTGCATTTTTTACGGGCTTTCAAACTGCTAAGTTGGCAGAAGCTGGGGCAGGTTAACGGGAGCACATTCCGTTATGTGGCACTAGGGATTCGAACCGCTGAACTTTCTGATCGACGAGCTCAGCGTCTTAGCCGCTGAGCCACCATGTCCCTCTGCTTTTGTATAGTTTTCTTTAATTTGTTTATTTTTATGGTTTATTTCCTGTCCTCGTCAGTTTTTGGTGTGGTTTTTATTTTATTTTTATTTAGCCATAGCAATAGCAGTTAGACTTATATACCACTTCATAGTGCTTTTATAGCCCTCTCTAAGCGGTTTACAGAGTCAGCCTCTTTCCCCCAACAATCCGGGTCCTCATTTTACCCACATCGGAAGGACGGAAGGCTGAGTCAACCTTTGAGCCGGTCAGGATCGAAACTGCCAATGTGCTGGCAGCCGGCAGAAGAAGCC